CCCCTCGGAGCCCGCCAGCCTTCGGGCCTGGTCCTGGGCGGTTAAGTCCCGACGGCCTCGCTGGGAGCTGATCTCAAGTCTCAGATGCGTAGAGTTCGCCCCCGTAGGTCCTTTGTTCGGCCGGGTAGTCCCTCTCACCGCTAGGCCGCGGCTGCTCTGGTGGGCGTCACTAGCGTCTTGAGGCTGCAACACAAGCGCCCGAGTTTCTTCCGGACTGGCACTTCTGCATCGGGACCTGGCCCTGGGGAAAACAACCCTCGGGAAATCTCGGCGCGTTACTCCACGGAGTTGCCAAGCAACTTCCGGCCAGGGCTCTTAAGGAGGTAGCCCAGAACCGACCCTAAACTGCTCGCCTGCTTTTGTGTTCTCAGGCCTATAACATTCACGTGAACGGAGTACTGCACTGTCGGGTGCGCTACAGCCAGCTCCTGGGGCTGCACGAGCAGGTGGGACTAGCACTCCTGCCTGGGGGCAGCTTCAAGCCCTTTCCTACATAGGTCATCAATGTTTCCATTTCCCCCTCATTGCGTTCCAGTAGGCTGTAATTAATCATTGCCACAGGGATGTCAGAGCTTTATCTTATCAGCTGACATTTCCGGGGAACTCCCTAAGAGGCTTCTGTCTGCCGCAATAACTGCCCCTTGTTATACTCACATCCTCCTTATACTCACATCCTCCTTCTGCTTCTCTGACCCATTCAGCCTTTGACCCTGCATGGAAAAACGGAACTCCCCCACCCCGCCAGCTGCCCCAGCCCCGACTGGCTGCCAAAACATATTCCTTCTGTCTTCTGAGTTCAAACTTCAAACGCTCTCCCTGCTTGTACAAACCATTCACTATTTCCTTGTGCATTCTTTGGCTCCCTTCAGTGTGTATAGCTGTTCCAGCGATCAGTATGTATTTGAGATGCAGTGTTTCTCAGCTTTCCTCACCAGATTATGAACTCTGTGTAACTCAGTTGAGAGTCCTAGTTCTATTGACAATTAGTTGTGCCACTCATTCCTTTGGGCTTCAGTTTTTACAACTGAAAAATGCATTCCTTGACCTGCAAAGTCTTTTTAAATCATGAGATTCTTTGTAAACATATTTAGCTATTACTTATTTGTGCACATAAATATGCCTTTTAAAGCTCTTTGCTTCCTGTCAGGGTTTAATGAAAGTCTTACTAGACCTTTCTCTATACAAACCCTCCATGGAGGGACTTGGTTCATACACACTAAGTTAGAGAAGAACTTATGTTTAGAACAGCTTCCTTGAAAATGCTACCTCTGCCAGAGGAATTGTTTGCAGAGGCCAGGGCAGGCAGTGGAATAGGGACTGAGGGAAGGGAAATTGTGGAGAGACCACTGCGATTATCTAGAGACCACGAGATTACATCTCATTTTCTGGTTATATGAAGGGTTTTATCTCTTTCTCTAAATAGCTTCGGAAGGAGTATGGGGCCAATGTGCTTCCTGCATTCCCCCCAAAGAAGCTTTTCTCTCTGACACCTGCTGAGGTAGAACAGAGGAGAGAGCAGTTAGAGAAGTACATGCAAGCTGGTGAGTGCTTGGAGGGAAGGAAATTTATGTTGAGGACTGTGGGGAGAGACTAAGAACAGCTGGTTCTGTGGAAAGTCCTACATTAATTCCCAGATCTGGAGAACCTCTCATTTGATGTTATTTAATTAGCAAAGTAAATAGCCCATAAAGATGTATAACTGTATTCTTGCGAGTCAATTTGGGCACTAACATCTATGAGAAGTAGTAGCATAACACTAGAGCCTTAAAGCAGGTTAAGTCAGTGGGGAGACTTTCATTTGAATCTGATGTGCTTTAGATTAATATCATTTCCCTAGTTCTAAAGTCTGGACTCAACTAGATGGCAGCCAGGGGAGGGGGGGGCAGGTGAAGAATTTATGCAGTGAGTGAGGTAAGGCCAGTTGGGGGGTGTGGCAGGCCACCATCAGCTCAGGAAATAGGATTGGGTGGGACCTACTAAGAAGACTGGAAGAGCCAAGAGTGAATATGAAGTTACTGGAACATAGTTTTCTCCCCACAGTTCGGCAAGACCCACTACTTGGGAGCAGTGAGATCTTCAATAGTTTCCTTCGTCGGGCACAGCAGGTAAGGCTTTGGGTGGGACCTTGCTATAGGGCCATTCTCCTCCCCCACCCCCATTTGTCATAGGGCATGTGTACTGACTAGAGCAGGTAGGGAGCGAGAAAGCATCCCCCCATTGGGAATGGTCCTGCTCAACCCTCATTCCTCCACTTCTCCATTCCTTTCGGATTCTGAGCACACAGACCCAGTATGTTTCTCAAGGAGTCATCCTGGTACTTTGGGTATGGAATAGAGCTGTTGCTGTACTCATGAAATCAAGGAAACCCTACCCTGTATTTAAGCATCTGAGAATAAAGACACTATAGGGACTCTTAAAAATAGAGTTGGGGGTGTGTAAAAGCTGGACCTTTGGAGGGAATTAATAAGCCAGAGCCTCCCAGCCCCATGTATGCTCATTAACAGGAGACACAGCAGGTCCCCACAGAAGAGGTCTCCTTGGAAGTACTGCTCAGTAATGGGCAGAAAGTTCTGGTCAACGTGCTAACTTCAGATCAGACCGAGGATGTCCTGGAGGTGAGGTGTTTGTTTGGCACTGCATCTCCCCCACCCCCGCAGGGTTCTGGGCTTAGGGTGATTGGAATCAAACTGTATGAGCTACACTTCCTATTTGTATCCCTAGGCTGTGGCTACAAAGCTGGATCTTCCAGATGACTTGATTGGATACTTTAGTCTCTTCCTGGTTCGAGAAAAAGAGGATGGAGCCTTTTCTTGTGAGTTTCTCTGAACTTGACTGCTTCATTGTGCTTCTAGTAGTCAGTTTGCTTCTCCCTTTTAGAATGGAGCATTTCCTTAGGGTGCTTTTTTGATTTCTCTTCATGTCTCCTGACATTTCCCTTTACTTTTTCTAAACCCATAGTTGTACGGAAGTTGCAAGAGTTTGAGCTGCCTTATGTGTCTGTTACCAGTCTTCGGAGTCAAGAATATAAGATTGTGCTAAGGAAGAGGTCAGAGCTGGGTCTGCAGGTGGGGGAGGGTGCTGGATTGGATTATTGGGCCACATATTGAGAGAATAATCTGGACGGGGGTGGGGGGGGTTGCGCTGGGTATTTCCAGACCTCCCACTATACCACCATTAGCCCGATAGTTCCAGATTGTTCCAGTTATTTCCATCCTACCTCTTGCCTTACTCCAGCTTAGCCCCATTACCCCTTTCCACCCCTTGGCCTCACAGTTATTGGGACTCTGCCTATGATGACGATGTCATGGAGAACCGGGTTGGCCTGAACCTGCTTTATGCTCAGGTGAGCTTGGAGCTGTCTCACAACCCTTCCCCTGGAAATGACTCTGGTGTCCCAGTCTCCTAAGAAAACTTTCATGTGTTGGTTCCCAGTTCATGGGGAAGTTCCTAGAACACCTAGGGCTCCTGGTGCAGCCTCTACTCCCTACTTTATAAGCTTTAAGATCAAGTACTCACTGCCAGGAGGTCACTGAAGTGTGGGTTTAGGGGTCAGGCTGGACAAAGGTAACTGGACAGTTTCTCAGACCACTGAACTGGGAGTCCATATTTCCCCCTCTTGTCTTCACTGTAGACAGTGTCAGATATTGAGCGTGGGTGGATCTTGGTCACCAAGGAGCAGCACCGGCAGCTCAAATCTCTGCAAGAGAAAGTCTCCAAAAAAGAGGTGAGACCCGCCTCTTTCTCCCTCCAAGGAATTACTTTCTCTGAGCTGCCCTGCTCCCCTAACCATTCCACGTGGTGACCATTTTTTAGTTCCTTCGGCTGGCACAGACACTACGACACTACGGCTACCTGCGCTTTGATGCCTGTGTGGCTGACTTCCCTGAGAAGGACTGTCCTGTGGTGGTGAGCGCAGGCAACAGTGAGCTCAGCCTCCAGCTCCGCTTACCGGGCCAGCAACTCCGTGAAGGCTCCTTCCGGGTCACCCGCATGAGATGCTGGCGGGTCACTTCCTCTGTGAGTTGAGGGAAACGGCAGCCTTCTAGGAGAGGACCTAGCAAGCCTTGAGCTTCAGGAACGTGCTGTGGTGATTATGAAGGCAGGCAGTTGGTCAGAATGAACTTAGACTCATTCCCCTTCCTCTTTCAGGTGCCTCTGCCCAGTGGAGGCACCAGCAGCCCAGGCCGGGGCCGAGGAGAAGTACGCCTGGAACTAGCTTTTGAATACCTCATGAGCAAGGACCGGCTACAGTGGGTCACCATCACCAGCCCCCAGGTGTGAGCTTACCCTCAGGCCTCCCCTACAGCCCCTTGGATGTCCAAGTCAAGGATTTCCAGGACTCCATGGGAGTGGGAACCATTGTCTACAGGGTGCTGGGCCCAGGATGACCACTCTAGTGAGGCAGTGCCCTCGTATTGTCCATAGGCCATCATGATGAGCATCTGCTTGCAATCCATGGTAGATGAACTGATGGTGAAGAAATCTGGTGGCAGCATCAGGAAGGTAAGCACCAAGTGTGAACCAGGCATAGACTGAGCAGCTGATTGGCTGTGCCCTCCCTGACTCTGTCCTAGGTGTGAGGCTTCTGAGGAGGGGAATTCTAAAGGATGGGATCCTGCCCTCATCAGTGCATTGTCTGTTCCCAGATGCTACGCCGGCGGATGGGGGCCACCCTAAGACGCTCAGACAGCCAGCAGGCAGTGAAGTCCCCACCACTGCTTGTAAGTATTACCCCCTGGGCAATACCCTCGCTCACAGCCTTGCCTCACCTCCACCCAGTGATCTTCTGACACCTCTGCCTCCTCTTCCCCAGGAGTCACCTGATGCCAGCCGGGAGTCTGTGGTCAAACTCTCAGTGAGTTACAGGGTTTGTGAGGTTGGTAACTCCAGGGGATCTTACAGACTCAAGCCTTTGACCCCCTACCCTGTCTCTGTTACAGAGTAAGCTGAGTGCTGTGAGTTTGCGGGGCATTGGCAGCCCCAGCACCGATACCAGTGCCAGTGATGTCCACGGCAATTTCGCCTTTGAGGGCATTGGAGATGAGGATCTGTGATCTCCCACTGCTTGGATGTCTGCACTCTACCCCAGAAGAATTTACAGAAACTTGCCCTGTGCCTGCATTCCCTAAGCTGGGGGGGTCTTTTCCTTCCCCCTTCCTTCCTTTTTCCTCCTCTTGGCCAGGGGCCTCTTATCCCACCCTCTCTCCCCAACTGGGCTGGCTGCAGAAAGGATTGCCCCAATCTTTTCAGAGCTGGTCCATGATGCCAAATTAGCATTTAGTATTTTGCACAAAGTCCAAGGGACCATGGCTGCCTGCCTTGGGGAGGAACCACAGCTCCCCCTGGGTTGCTTCTGACTTCCTGGAGCCATGGGCCAAGGGGATGGGCAGAGGTCTATGTAAGGTCTGGCCCAGCTCCCCATCATTAAACACAGCCTGACTGCTGCCTACCTCTGGCTCCCTCACTGCCCTTGCTTTTCCCATCATAGTGTAGACTACTAAGCTATGGGTAAAGCCAAACTACTTGCCATTGCCAATTCAGCATAGACATGGCTTTGTTAGTGTTTCCTTTATTATAAAGCACTGAAATAAGTTAAATAAACAGGTGAGAGGCTGGGCCGTCCTCCAGCCAGTTTGTCCACAGCCCCTGGGAGCAGTGGAGGTAAATGCAGGGCCTTCTCACTGAGCTCATCAAGTGCATCAGTCAGGGCAAGGGCCCCTGGTCCATATGGGTCCCTCGCCCATGGGGTTTGGGCTGGTCCATACAGTGCCTAAGTTAGTCTATGTGGAGCCCCTGGCCAGCGGGGGAGGAAGAAGGTAGCGGCTTCTGGTCCATCTGTATAAAACATACAGGGGGTCAGGGCTAATCCGCAGGGCCCTAGGGAAGGAGGACCTAGGTTCAGGGTGAGTCTGTATGCAGAGCCCGGCTACCAGCAGCACTCAGGGCTGTTGGACCCCGAGAGCTCAAAACAGAGGGTGGGCTGTGAGGTGGGGCCCAGCCTTCAGAGGCAGAGAGGCCAGGTCCTCCTGCCCCACCGTGGCCATGCACCTTCTGGTGGCGTTTGTAGTTGTCCCAGTGCCCTGTGGTGTAGGCGCAGGTGGCACAGCGGAAGGGCTTCTCGCCTGTGTGCCGCAGCATATGGCGTTTGAGGTTCATGCTCTGATTGCAGCTGTAGTTGCAAAGGCTACACCGAAATGGTTTGTCACCAGAGTGGATGCGACCATGACGTTTGAGGTTGGCCAGGTTGCCACAAGCATAGGGGCAGAGGGGGCACTTGTAGGGCTTCTCTCCTGTGTGGACACGCTGGTGCCGTTTCAGGTTATCCAGATGAGCAGAGGCATAGGGACAGCGGGCACAGCGGAAGGGCTTCTCTCCGCTGTGTGTCTTCATGTGCCGGGCCAGGTGATTGGGGTAGTGAGTAGCAAAGGGGCAGAGGCTACAGGCAAAGCCTTTGTCACTGGGGCCCTGGGGCTCCCCACTGGAACCTCCTCCAGCTTCTCCTCGCAGGCAGCGCCCACACATGGAAGTTCCCAGTCGACTGCCCTCACCCTCCTCCAGCTCTTGTCCACAGCCTCGGCAGGTCCAAGGGAATAGCAGCTCTGGCAGTGGTCCTGATCCAGTCCCACAGAGGCTGTCTCCTTCACCCCGCAGTTGCCCACAGTCTGGCAGGAAACTGGCACCACCTGATGGCACATGGAGGCTCAAATCTGGAAGGAGCAGAGCATCTGTGGGGACACGGGAGACCAAGGCTATAAAATCCAAGTGTTCCCAGGGCACTCACCCATTTCCCAGGATCTTTGGTCCCTGGCTTTTTACCTTCAGGTCGCCGGGGCACTGCTCCCTCCTGCTCTGTGGGACTGGGAGGCCGGGCTGGTCGTGGAGCACAGCAGCGGAAGCCACAGGTCGGGCAGGGAGGAGTGGGGGGCCCTGCATGGGTACGCTGATGCCGCCTCAGGTTGCCCAGGCTGCTGCAGGCAAAGGGGCAGTGGGGACAGCGGTAGGGCTTCTCGCCAGTGTGGGTGCGGGTATGTCGTGTCAGGTTGACGAGCTGGGCTGAGGCGTAGGGGCAGCGACCACAGCGGAACGGCTTCTCCCCGCTGTGTGTCTGCATGTGCCGCTTCAGGTGGCTCGAGTAGTGGGACACGAAGGCGCAGAGGCGGCATGAGTACAGTAGCCGTGGGGGCAGCGGGGGGCCCCCCCCCCGGCCTCCTGCCCCCCCAC